AGGGAAAGTCGTACTTTACACTAATGTCAAAGTGACGGGGCTCCTCTAATGGGCTGATGCTTGCAAAGCACGGTGGCAGACAGGGGCCTCAGCCTCCAATTAAGCTTCGCCTTCAGCATTACAATTTGATTCGATCATCTCACCAACGCCTGTGGACCAGTCAGGGCAGGGGCAGTTGTCTCCTTGGATATGCCACTTCTCTGGGTCTAATGAACTATCCTGCAGCCAGCCCCACGTGGCCGTACAGGATTAGTACCTGTGGCACATAGCCATACAGGTAGATATATCGGCAGCCTCCCGCATTCTGATTGGCCTCTTGGAAGCCCTAGGAACCTGCAGTTCTGCAAAGCATAAGGCAGGTGCCAAGCAAAGTTCCAGAGCAGGTTCTCCCTCTGCCGGCCCATTGCCCACCCAGAGTGCATCCTTCTTTTTCACTGAAACCAGCCCCTGAGTGCAGACTTGAAGCCAGGTTCTTAGTTGTCTAATCTGATGTCTTTCTAGAGCCTGGACCAGGACGCAGAGCAGGCGTGTGTGGGACCGGATGTCTAGGAGTCAGGAGGCTTTCTGATTCTGAAACTCCAGCTTGGAGAGAAGCCAGGCTCCTTGGTCCCTGAGCCCCACGGGGGTCTCCTGACCCTGGGACCCAGATCCCCCCCGAGGGCCTTGCATACATAGGTTCCCCCCGCCAGGGGCACGGAGGGCTGATGCCTCTGTGGCAGCTGGGGCTGCAGTCTGCTCTCTGGGCCTCATTGCCTGTCTTCACCACCAAACACCCCCCAACCCAGGACACAGGACCCAGTTGGAGGCTCCATTTGTACTCTGCTCTGACATCTCACAGGAGCCGCAAGAAGCCAGCAGTGCCCCCCTTCTCTGAGCTTTTCTCATGATGAAAAAATAAGTAATAAATAATAGAAATGACAACCAGTGTGGGTTTGAGCAGGGAACGTCTGCAGTCAGGCTGCCTGGGGTGGAGAAGTTAATCTCAGCAAGCCTCATTCTAATCATCTGTGAAATGGGATCACAGTACCAGGCTTCCGGTGATAAGGGATGTAAAGAACTCGGGGCCTTGATAACTGATGGCCATGCCTCTCCTCACAGAACTGGGTGGCAACTTTAAAAGCTAGAGGATGTTGCCCCTTTAGCTACCACATTAATAATTCTTTTGTTCTGTAAATGAGCGACAAACAACTTAAACCCAGGGAGGCTAAGAAACTTGCCCAAGTGTCCACAACTGGCAAGTAGCAGCACGAAAAACAGGTCTCTGGGCCCCTGTCCTTTTTTACTAACGTTTGATTCGGTTGTATAAACATTTGTCTGCATCCGGCAGAGGGTGGACCGAGGGGCCAGAGGGGAAGGTCCCTGCCTGTGAGCTCTGCCGGAGAGGAGGCATGGCCTTCGGGGTGTTGCCCGTGGGGCTAAGCCGCACATTTCACCACATTTGTGTGTCTCACAGTGGATCTGGATCTGGTTCATTCAGAACACAAAGGAGCAGCTTGCTCAGGCAAAAGCGCCCAATTTGTTTCAAATAAATCCTCAGCTGGGCTGGAGAGGGCGGGGTCCCCCTACGTGACCCTCCCACACACACTCAGATGAGGCAACGCCCCGTGACCTAAGGACTTTGTGCTGCTTAAAATAGAAAGGGAGGCCCAGGTTACTCATGGTGACCTGGGTCACTGGATTACTAAAGCCGAGCCCAAGGAGGAACCGAGACCTGGGGAGTCTGTGGAATATTAAATGCCCTGAATGCGACTGCACGGAAGGTCAGCCCAGGCT